CCTAAATACAATCAACTATGCCTACAAAACAATCCTTTTATCTTCAAAAATGTCTTAAATGTTGCAAAACACAGCTGTGAGGCAGAGCAAAGAAAAAAGCAAAGGTTGAAAAACAATCAAAGTTATTTAAAGACATTAACTGTGCAAGTGATGTTAAAAGGATATATTTGGGTTCAGCTTGCAGTGAGCCAGCTCTAAAGTTAAGTGATCAATGTTGAACGTAGCTGTCATGATGGAAAATCCCAGGACAGTCAGGGCCATGTAAAAAAAAAAAAAAAAAAAAGTGTTTTTTTATTCTTTAACCAGTCCGGGTCCACTATTTAAAGTGTTAGCTTACCCTCTTCCCTGTTCCTCTTCCAACAGGTGGGTGGCACTCAGCAGCCTGGCGTACAGTGCACAGCATGATTTCAATCAAGGCCGTCTCTTGTCTGTCTGTAAGAGCTGCAAAAAAACAAATAGAACAAACAAACAAAAATAAACACACAACAACCGGCATGATCTGTGTTTTGTTTGTGCTCTGAACCACATTATAAGTGACGTATGCTGTGAGAAACCAGTGCCATACCTTCCTCTCCTGGCAATGGGTCATCTAACAATAAGCTGATCATACACTCCCAATCCTTCAGTAGCTCTGCACCGCATTCCCAGAGGGAGTCCACTAGGTAGGCTGCATGCTCATGGAGCTACGGAGAGAGATGTTCACACAAATTAAAGGACAGACAATTCAACATTCTTAAATATTGTCAATAAACATGAAATTGTAGTCCGCATAACAGTAAAGGGCAACAGCCTGATAATATACCTCACTCTCCAGGAAGAAGAAGACAGTGGTCTTAATGAGGTTGGCATTGGGGCTTTGTCTGCCTCTCCTCTTAGGGGCACCTTCCTCCTCAGGCTCCCGCTGGCTGAACAATCTTTGGGGGAATATTAATCATTAGTTGGGTACCACACAAAAGCAACCCCCACATAATCTTCCAGCTGCATTTCTTGGTAGCAGCAGGGGGCCTGCCAAATAACTACTCATAAGCTAGGCTGGGGACTGACCTTGTAAAATGAAACTTTCAACAGAAACAGATCATCGAGCAACTTCACAATCTTGACTTCCGAGTTTCAATTGGAGTGTCAGGATGAACATAAGAAAAATTTAACAGTAATGCAAAAGCTATAAAGTTTAGTTTGTATGCACACAGAAGTACTGAATGTGCTTTTCAAGTAGTCTCATAAACAATGTTAAAGAGTAACTTAACATCAGGCTGAAAAGCACCGTTTTGCTGCCCCCTCTGGGTGAAAGTTTCATGCCTGTTTGACCTCTGATCACACCCAGCATCATGGTTTGAGGTGTGGTCAGATTTGCGGTTTTGAACCTGTAACCACACAAACAGTGATGTCACCAGGTCTTGAGTCCACCTGTGCCACCTGCACTGTACTGCAGAAAGGTAAAAAGTTGAACCAGCAGAGGTCAGCAAAAACAAGATATTCAGTTAAGTTCTCACTTGTCCTTCAAAACTATGGTGAATCCTTTGTTCTTTGTCCACAGGCCCAACCTGCCTCCTCACTCATTTTCCTGAACTCATTCCATGCTTCTCTGTTCAGTGATAAAACACTGATTTAAGTCCTGTTCAGTGATAGGTTTGATTCAGGTATGACATACTTTTTAAAGAGGAATTCTCCAGCTGCAATAGCGACAGGCCTGTGTGCTGAGTAGACCAAGTGATAGACACTCTCACAGTCCTCAGGGGTCAACACCTCATCTGTGCTACTGCAGAGACAAACACAAAGAGTCAGTCTAAAGTAGTTGCCAGCAGCAGACTTGTACTTGATGTCATTCTTGAAAAGAATATCCAAAATACATCCCACTGATATTGGTAAACAACATGGAAGTTGACACAACAGTACTAATTAAAGAGAATCAGGAACACAGACACTTACTTCAAGACAAGAGTGAGCAGTTTAATCGCTTGTACTGCGACGTCATACTCTTTGTCAAGAGTCATGGAGACAATACGGTCCTGTGCAAAGAGAGATGACAGGTTTAATGAGTTATTTGATAATTATGTCAAATTCTGTCACTTCAATCACAAATATAGACCATCCAGAAAACATCACCCCAGTGTTTGTGACTATATTAAGAGGGTAAAACAATAAAGTTGGAGCTGTTATGTTGAAGTTGTCCAGCAGGTGGTGCTGACCTTGAAGCGACTGGTGAAGAGCTCCAGTCTTGCATTGAGTTCTCTGTTGTAGTAGAGACCCTGCAGAGCTGTCAGACACTTCAAACGTACCTCGCCTTGCTGGAATAGAGGATTAGAAAACACAGTAATTTACTGCATAGTTGCACTAAGCATCAGCAAAAAAAAAACATATTTATCAAGAGGAAAAAGGTTCTCAATTCAATCACACATCAATTGCTTTCTCTTGTATTTACAAATACTGAAGTAAACTAATATTAAACACCAAAAAACATTAATTAGAAATTTAAAAAATAGTTTTTTTTTTTTTTAAACTTTTGCTACACTTTGCAAGTGACTGGTTGTTGTGACTGGTTGTTGTACCTTTAACAGCCATACACGCTTTCAAAGGTGTTTTCACTTATTCTGGCTGCTAAGAACCGGGAATTATGGGGCATCACAGTAATCAATCAAAGTAAGTGCACGCAAACACAGTCCTGAGAAGAGGTCTAGTCAGTAAAATGAAGTGACATCTCCTGTGTTTGTGGATCACGGGCGTGTAGAGGCTTTTAAGAAACTACGAAAATAGAGCTAGAGAACATTCTTGTGACCCACCTTATCATGCATCGTCCATCCTACATACTTCAGATAGCTGTCGTTGAGGAAGGCATCACTATAGAGTTTCATCCACACCCCAATCTCTTCTATACAGATTGCCCTGATTTCTGCTATCGAATCACTGTTAAAACATCATATTATTATTAGTTGAAACAGAATACAAGATGTTTTCTATAGCTGCATCATAATCAGAATCAGTTATAATTTTTTGATAATTGATTTGAAGCCATACCGATATCGGTGAACGAACACTCCTTTGAATATTGCATTCATCATGTTTTCAATCTCATCCTGATTTTCTTGGAGCTGAAACAGAGAGCACAACAACACTTAATTTTGTCAAACATACAGCCTGACACACTAGAATGCTACAGTAAGAGGTGACCAGGAGGCATTGTTAACATAACAAGACATGTGTGACTGCCAACTATGCCACCATGCTGTGGTGTGGCAGCACAGTGAACTAACAGATGGATGCCCGGTGGTGCCTGCTGTTATATAACCTAATAAATGGACAACACTAGCTGAATAACACTCAGCACTAACACAGTCACTGCAGGTCCACCACCTACAGAGGTGTTGCAGTTCTAAAAATGGAACAGATTTACGGCCATGAGCTAGAGTAGTTCACAACTATTTACTCGTTCATGTATTACTGGTTAGCAAAGGTTGCAGGTGTTTTTCATGATTTGCCTGAACAAAACGCCATGTAGGAGCATGTAGCTTGGGCAATGTTTAAATTAATCAAGCCTGATTTCTTCTGGCATAGGAATTGAATAGAAAAAGAACGGCAACGATAGGGCTGAGTGATGTTCTTATTAGGTCAGTCAATGATCTTTGGCAGATGTTGATATTATGTAGGACAATGTTAAGACTTTTAAAAAGGTTGGATTAGGACTGCTAATTTATAATTCTGCTCACCACCGTTTCCCCATACGCTCATTTATTTGTGTCGGCCCGCCACAAAATCAACGCTGACCGCCACATATTGATTTTATTTTTTTTACTAGACCTATTTAAAATTGTATTTGATTGCAGAGTGCCGTAGCGCAGCACATCTTCTCGCTACCTACATATCACAGTGAGAACACACTACACACAGGGTCTGTAGTTGCAACGGTCTGCCAAAGTTGCCAAAACCTCTCTCTAGTTTGGAGCATGCCGCATTGGCTAATATACCTGCTCAAAATAACCTGCATCTCACCAGAATCTGCTGACCATCTACAATCCAGTTTGAATTTGAATAATTGAATGCCCAAATCCAAAAAGGTGTGTGCATAGATCAAAGGTGTAAAGAAAGCAAATTGCAATGCGGCCACTCTTACCTCTTTGCGTTTCTGCAGGAGCAGCTCCAGCCTGTCATTGGCCCTTTTGGCCACAATTTTATTCCTTTCTGCCTCATACTGGCGCTGGGTGTTGTCCATGTTGATGCTCAGGTTTAGAGCTACATTCACCAGGGCCGTCATCAGCTTCATGGCTGCCAGAAACACAAGTATCGTGAAGCGTGAGAGTTAACCTGACTTGTCACTTTGCTTAAAGTGTCAGGGATGTGGAATACATAAACTAGTCCCTGCATATAATGTAATCCTTCCCAACCAAGTTGCACAACAGCCCAAATCAAAACGTCTAAATGCCCAAACCTTACAGAGTTATGGTTTTCTTTAGCTTGAAATAATCCCACACTTTCTTCTTTGTCCCTTGCCATTTTCTCTGTCTTCCTCCATAGCTCCATTATAATCACATTGTGTTCACAGCGCAAGTGCAATGTGCGACAGTAATAAATGTCCCTGCGAAACACTATGCTGTAAAGTTGCATGGCTTAAACGAAGCATCAATGCATTTTATTAATCGATTTAATTAATGAATCGTTTCAGCCCTAGATGGAACTATGTTGGAAATCATAAAAGGGTGAACAAACTCAATACACTGAGAATATGATTTGGTCCACTTTTAGCTGTGTCCAGTATACACTTAAGCGCATTAAGAAGTCATTATTAAACAGAGGTACCATCTAAAACAGATCTACAGCAACTGACCCAATCAAGCCTGGTGGTCAAGATCAGTGCAGACACAAAAACAAACAACAAAAGCATGTTACAGTTTAGCACCGACAGGCAAGGACAAAGATGGTTCCCTAGACACAACAATACATCTCCACCTGTTCAATTATGACCATTGTAAAATGTACAAAACTGCAGCATAAATTATATGGGCTGTGTGTTCCACATGCCTCTGGTTATCGTAGAGCAGATGATCTGCACCCACCGGGAGCCTTTGGCACATTAATTCAGCGAGTAAATCCACCTACGCCACTTGTTACTGTACACAAGCACAACCAATGATAAAGGTGTAATTTGTCCCAACTAATATAATAGGGCTGAAACGATTCATCGTAAACAATTCATCATAAAGTGCATCGACGCAAATTCTTTGCATCGAGGCATCGACGCAAATTCTTTGCATCGAGGCTTCGTTTAATCCATATAACTATACAGCACACTGTTTCGCATAGACATTTATTACTGTCGCACATTGCACTTACGCTGTGAACACGACGCAATTATGATGGCGCTGTTTGCAAAGTGGAGGAAGAGAGAGAAAATAGGGAGGGACGAAGAAGAAAGTGTCCGAAGTATGGGATTATTTCAAGCTAAAACAAAAACTCTGTGATGTTACTGTCCGTCCACTGTAAAACAAAACTTATGTCGCCTAACGTAACCGCAACAGCATGACGGCACCAGATCAGAAGGCACCTGGTGTTATGCCAGCGGATCATAGATAAGGTAACAGCAACTTTCGCATTTAGCTGAAATCATGATTATTTGTTGAGATGAAGTCTAGCCAAAGTAAGCCGCAATCCTCAGCTGAAAATGTACACGCATGCATTTGTTGTTCTCCTGGTTGGGCCGTGAGTTTGGATTTGAACGTCACAGTCATGAGTTAACTGGATTTCGGGGGGGAACTGCACCTTAGTATAACTTGTATAGCACTAGGTGTTTGTGTTGGTAAAGCAGTTGTCTGGTTGTTGGTTTGTTGATCTGATGTTTGCTGTATGACGCACTATACATTTCCAAAAGGACTAATAGATATCTATCATCCATCAGCGTACACAGCTGATCCCGTTAGCGGGGTGAAGAGCGCCGCCGCCAAGCAAAAGTACTTCTTAAACTATGCATCGATGAAATAATCTATAGAAGCTTTGAGTACTAAAATCATTGTTAGCTGCAGCCGTAATCTATAACAAAAGCAACAGCTGGTCTAATCAGGCAAAATAAGTGAACACACCTGTGTGGGTGTGCCATTGGGGGTTGAGTGGCTTTATCAGCGGTTATATTAGTTCTAGCTTTTATTTTACAGAAAAACATGCTGAAAATATAAAAGTTCACAATAAACTACTCTTTAAAAAACTATTTCCCTAAATCCCCTCCAATCTGGCTTTTTGACCTATCCAGCTAGAACCCGCTAATTAATACAATTCAGCACTGACATTCAAGTACGTCACACAAATACAGACAGTTCATCTTACCTGCCAGTGTTGAGGTGTGTCTGAAGGCTCGGACTTGGGAGTCTGATAGTCCGGTGAGAAGGGAGATGACTGTGTCCATCATGTACTCATCATAGATGATACTGTATTGACACTGGCGCACTAGAACCGAAATGAATTCACAAAAGCTTGATTTGAACTTCTTCCACTGGGGTCCTGCTATGGTTAGAGGGTAGTCACCACTGTCCTACAGAGGGAAGATGCAACAACAATTAATGCGACTACAATGTCTAACGCTATCCTGCAAAAATTTCTATTGTCACTGGCAAATAAAATAATTCTAAAGTTGATTTTTAATCATAAATGACACAAAGATTATCCTGGAAAAAGTGAAGTTACCTCATCGAATTCCTCCGTCATTCGTCGAATGATCTCGGAGTTCTGCATGTTGCGGAACATTTCTCCACTGACCACACCTGATAAACACAGAGGGGTTAGACACAAGACAATTTACTTAATTGGTCAACAAGACCAAGTCAGAGAGAAGAGAGGTCCAAATTTGCTTGAGTGGTTCTATAGGACACACAGATTGAAATGTTTTCTTCAGTATGTTTAAAAAGGGCCAATCATGGCATAGGACAACTTAAACAGACACATACCTTTGCATCCCGAGCACTGGATGAAGAAATTGATGAGATCTAATAGCGCCACATCTCTGTCATGTTTGTAAGACTCAATCCAGTCATCAACGACAGACTGCAGGAAAATAGGGATACACAAAATCAGCCATCAATTAAGAATGCAGACTAGGGCTGCCCCATACTAGTCGACTAAACCGTTCGTTGAGAAGAGCCTTGGCTTAACTTTTCATTAGCGGGTTAGTTAAACACTCCATTCGGTAGCTGCGCCTTGTCACCGGGACAAAAGTTTCAGGGTATTGTTGCAACAAGGACCTTTTCTCTTGTAACACAGAATGCACTTAACAGCGCACAGCTGCTAACTGCACTAGCTGTCTAGCTTAATTAGTTAGCGCAGTCCTATTAGGCGATTCTACCCTCACAAAGAGCTCAGAGTACCGGGGAAATGTTGGTGTTTGTTTACACAGCTAACTTTGGCCCACAGAGAAAAGGTGGTTTGGGAAATGTTACCGGGGAGTGGGGCTAGGAATAATCAGCAGAAGTAGAGCCAGGCGAGTGGGCAACAGAACCAGGCTCAGCATCCTCCAAATGAACATGAACTGGGACTGAACACAGCTTGAGACTGAAGGAGGCCAATTTGACAACAGGGAATACGGTACCAAGGTGATTTACATCTACTCCAACAAGGACTCTGACTCCAAGGACGGTGGTGGGTTAGGCAGGGACAGGAGAAGGACAAGTTAATTTGTAAGTAACGTTATACATCATCCATCGTGTACGCAACTGTTTGTTCTTGTGAAGTTGGAAATTATTTATTCCCCTGTTTTGAATGAGACTTGGATGGTGTGCCCGACCGATATGGGTTTTTGGGGGCCGATGCCGATATTAAAGTGAAAAAGAGCCGATTTATGAGCCGATATTTAGATTCAGAGATTTGATAGTAGACCCCTTTACTGTATAAACTACTTTTAAGCTGATGATACACGGAGCACCTTTTAGAGCAATCGTGCAGGGCAACATTGGCGTCAATGGTAATGAGTAAAGATTACTACCGTAATCCCTTTACCCCACCACTCCGCCACCTGCCCCGCATCGCCGCTATCTGTTCAAAACATAGTCAGACTTGCCGCTAGCAAGATTGCCCAGCAACACTGCTCAAAAAGTTGCCCCGTGTATCATCAGCTTTAGAACAGGCCGATATCGAAAGCTGGTGTGTATGTGGGCTATAAAACAGTTTCCTAAATGGATAATGTTAATAAAATAGATTACCGTCTCAAAAAGTCAACATGTAAACAATTGCACATCAATAACTATTTGTTGCTGGAACAGCCCTAATGTGACGACTAGTCGACTAATGGCATGAACTGATGACTACTAGTAGATTAGGAAAATTTTAGTCGGGGGCAGCCATAATGCAGATACATTAGTTTTTTCATGTGACTGAAAAAAATGATTTTTTTGACATTGTGGAAAACTCAAAGATCGGGCCATTCATACCTGCATCGCACTCCTGCCCAGCTTCACCACCTCAAACAGCATCATGTTTTCCATGCCATTCTCCTGGTGGTGGCCATTTATCCGGCCTGCTCCCTTCCCACCTTTGCCTTTCTCCCCTGCTGCCTTCTTCCCCTTCTTCCCACCCTGGAACAGAATATAAGACCATAAGGAATAAGCAAGTGAGAGAATCTTCACAAATATCTGCAACTGAAAGACACAATATGATGTTATTTGACCAGGATGTCTTGATCCAAGCCAAGGGCAGAGAGCCATTTGCGCTTTCCATACCTTTCCTTTAGCTGAGATTGTACTCCTTCCATCAAGATCCTCAGAGAAGTCTGTGTCTGACGAGAATCGGGTGTCTGTATCCCTGATAGAAACAAGCAAATATTAGAATGAAAACTGAAATCAAACTCAACCTTAAAATTAAAAGGGGGAAGCTACCACTTACTGAGGATAGGAGAACTCTGATGGTATTTCTGGTGCTGCTATCATTTCTGTAACATCTTCTGGATAACTTCAACTTATGACTGGCTTGAGATCCTCAGAAAATATAACACAGGGGAAGTTGCATGTGACCTAGAATATGAAACAGAGTAATTCAGAGAGCTACACATATAGACATATTACACATTTCAACACAGCCCAAACAATAAATGCTGCAAAAGCAAACATATATATACATAAAATATCCACACACAGGCAGGAAAGCACATCCTCTGTAATGAGCAAATGTTTCTTTGATGCTGTTCATAGAGAAAAAAAAAAAACGGTTTCACATGGTAACAGGGGGTGGACACAAATGCTCCTGTCACACTCAGCTGTCTAGCCATTGGCTCCCTCTCTTTCTCTGCCCCCTGGTTTACAGACAACGTCACAAGGAACATTGGAGTGTCTTCCTCAATGGCCATATATGGTACTGCCCTATCCGCCCCATACAAATCTCAACCAATCAAAAGACAGTATCAACATCAACAAGATACTGCAGGCCACAGAGAAACTATGGCATGGTTGTGATGTGTAAATTAGTGGCACATACATCAAAAGGGGAGAGCAGAAGTAACTTTTGAAATTAGATTCTTACTTTGTCATTAATCCAGAAACAAATGCATATGTCTCTTTAGCAATCAGGGAAGTCAATAAAAGCCAGGGGGTGTGGGGGGGACAACTGTTCAGTCTTGAAAAGGCAAACTTTAACTCCACCCATCATATAATGAGACCCACTCTGAGTGCAGTAGGTGCGTTACTCAGTCCTAATACAAGCAATAAAGACAAGTGTGTCATTTTTACATTATAATATAGTTTATATATAGAGAAGTGAGTAGACTGTCACGAAAATTGTCTGATGTAAAGTTATAATGGGGTCCTCTACCACAATAGCCTGCACAGGATAGCCCACATATGCATATTGTATTTTTTGTTACCAAGCACACATTTTTTTTGAATACGATGATCGACTTAAATTCCCTACACCTTCAAATCATAGTCACCCATGCAACATCTGCACTATGTACACTGGTAGTTAACGTTACGAATTGGTCGAGTTTAACTTCAATGGGATATTTTTTAGTTCAAGAATCTGTTAACGTGCTCATTTCCTTGACAGTGAGGGGGTTGCTTCATGACAAGACGACGGGATTCTATGGGTGTATACTGAAAAAGTGGCGCCAAATCGGACAGAGTACCTCATAAACTTGCTACTGCAAAGCAAGACTAGTTGGTTTTGATAAAACTAAATTCTAAAACCCAACAGTGTGAATTCGTGCAAGTCAACTATGCCACAAACTATCGGCTCAGTTCCCTCCAACAACGCCGACACGGCTGCGCTCTTCGTCGGCTCCTGTCAAAATTGACGCCGGTGCGCAGCTAGTGCTAGCGCCACTAGCTAAGCAACCGAGGATTTTGGCGTCTTTTCCCCACCGTCAGCTAGTTGAAATTTTATAAAGTAAGCATGCACTACTCTGTGCGAACAAACTGCGATTTGCCGAACAAGGTCAGCAACAGACATGTGCAATGCATTATCGTTTGATATCGAGAACATGTCGGCATTTACTAACGCTATCGTACCTGAACCATAATAACAAAACAACGCAAGCCCTACTGTACGTTCCAAGCGCATGCTAATACTGGCTAGTACACAATAACGCTATTCACTAATGTTTCCAAGGACAATAACTGCAATCTGTCTACACACCAGGCATACCAAGTGCTGTCGCTGACAAAGCAAATAACCAAAAGCAGATACGCTGCATCTTACGAGCTGATAATAACTCCCACTAGTTAGCTATGCTAACAGCTCCTGCTAACGTTACCCAAAAAAACATCACGTCCTTGCGTCCTCCATCTTGCCTCGGGAGTTCCAGTACCGTATTGCATAAGCAACAAACACATTGTTTACAAATATATAAAGTGCAACTAAGTCGCTTCAAACAATAAAACGTCTCGCTCGACTACGAACTAATTATCTTGCGTTACTGTGTCAAAAATCCAGTTCGTTAGCTTGCTAACAACCGAAGTAGCCATGTACCGCGAGCTAGCGAAGCGACTTGGTTCAGGCAGACATCCGCGCTCTGGGCTCATCCACAGCTAGCCTGGCTAGCGAGACGGCTAGCAAAATACAAATCAACTAACTTCCAGATAGCTCTCCGCCATTTTACAGCTAACTTACCTTGTTGTGAAATGTAGTCCCGGCAGAATCGTAACTTTAACTATTCTTATAAAGCCTCCGTCTGAATTCCACCACAATTCTGTAAAAAATAGTTTAAAAGTCGCGGTCACAGGCGGTTTCGGACGTTCTCTCACCCCGCTTGCTCCGTAGTTCGGTTTGTTGTTTCGACGACCTAGGAGGAGGAAATCCTGGTGCAGAGCTACCACCTAGCGGCCACATTACCCGCATTAGATACACCGTTGATGAGCTGACATCTAGCGGTCACTGACAGGTACTACATCCCTAGACTGCCGCCTCTGTGTTCTCTGTGCTGTGGGAGACACAAAATCAAGTCCTGTCAATTTCGGTAAATACTTAAATCTATCTCCCTCTCATTAGTTTCGAACAAGGGGAGAAAAAACCGATACTTTCTGTACACAGCTCATTGCCACCACGGTTCTTCCTTCTCTCCATTGTTTGAAATATAACCAATCACTAAAAAATAGCTTATTTGAACACTTTGTGACATAAGGAATTAAATCAATCTTTTTTTGATGTGGCCATCATACACCCTATATCTACCTACCTACCTACTAACCAACCACCATACATATGCAGGGTATTAATCTAGATGTTGCAAGTCTGCAAGTTGCTCCTGTAAACCTTAAATTAAATACATTTTGGGTTATGCATCTACAAGAGCTCTTTTCAAAAATCCCAATCCAAATTCAACCAACGAGAGTGTTTCTTACCGATAACATTTATATAGTCTGTGTTAACTGGAGTAACTAATAAGGAAATTTCAGGATACTCACTATACAAACCTTTCTAAGTGGGTGACTAGGTTGAGTTGGTGTCATGTAAACATCAAATCCAACTAGTTGTAGTTAAAAAAGTGTAAAATGCAATAGTTATCAAAGAAAAACATTTGGACATTTCAGGTCCAATTATTAAAATTTATTCACTCTTGAGGACACAACAGACTGCATGATGGAATGGTAAAATAATATCACACCACACCGATTCATTTCAGGTCAAAAACTACTTGTCAATTATAGAACAAAGTCAACTAAGGATTTAATGATCTACCTTTACACATTTCTATACAGAGCAGTATACATTGAGAAAATCATCTACAACAGTAAGTACCCCAGACAAAACAGAGGATATGTATGAAACTAACAGATTTTACATCTTAGGTGCAGTTTAATTGAATTTTGGTAAATGTCCATAATAAAAACAACAAAACGAGACATGAGTACATTAACCTAGATAAAGGCACCTCTGGCAAGGAACAGTGTTAAAATGAGAATTGTCTTTTAGTGTGTATTTTAGCTTCAGCACCTATTAAAAGCCTAGAAAATCAAAGTCAGCCATTTACAATATTATCTCATCTCAATATCAACAGCCATTTACCGTCTCAGTGATTGTGAAAATAGTTTTCTGTGACATTTACTAATTTTACTTTCATAAAGACAACATGGTCTGTATATATATTTTACAGGCTATCTACAATGTTAAAATATAATATTATAAAGATAGCAAGAAAGCAGCATTGACGTTTAGTGAGAGTCTTGATTATCTCAAGCAATGTAGGTCTTGATCTTCTGTTTTATGGCTCCACAGCAGATTGGACACTTGATGAGAGACTCTGAACACTCCTTACAAGAGACCAGATGACCACATGGAATGAAGACAATACAAATATCTCTGTCCATGCATATTTTGCACTGTTTCTCCATTTGCAGCTTCCGTAATTTCTCCAGTGGGTCCTCATCTGGAAGAAGGGGGGGGGGGGGTGAGTCACTGCTGCTTAGGCTTTGGTAAGTTTTATGTAGTCAATAACAGTTTTGTTTGTTTAAGCTATGAACCTTATTCAGAATACAATACCTTGCTCCTGTGTCTTTGCAACGTCACTCTCTGGTATGTGACAATCCTCTAGACCCATCTTTATGGCCTTCTGAGCAACGACAGACTGCAGCAACTCTGAACACAAAGAGGAAACATCAGTGTACAAAACATGTTTTACTCAGTCATGTTATTTTAATTTCTTAATGATAAAATATATATTTGTATGTCTCGTCATTTTCTTCAGGTACAGGAGATTCTTAAATGCTCAAAGAAAAGAGTAGTCAAATAAAAATAAATATTTACCATTCTTACCTCCTGAAAATCCATTCTGATGACTTGAAGTCTGAAAACAAACATGTAAGTTATTTTCAGGATAATGCATGTAAAACCATGAAATCATTACACATAACACCTTTGATTGCTAGTTGTTCCAGACAGCCAAATGATGCGGATCTGTCCAGAGAACAACTAACATTACGGTACTGAATATTTTCATTTAAACATCGGAAGCATGCATTCTTTATCCAATTTGTCCAGCCGAAAAACAAAATTCCCATGTGCCTAAGAACCTTGTGCATCACTGCCGTTAAAAAGGTTCACATTTTTCCAAGTCTGTGTTAAAACTGCATTTTCATGCCTATCTGTACATGGAGTTCTTGGTGGTTGTAACTTTCTCTGGTCCATACTGGCTGCAAAGAGATCCCCTCTTAAACAGATTAAATGATTGGGGACCAAATCAGTCCCTTTTCTGTGTAAAAATACACTGAAAAGTTCAAATCTCTTTCAGTTACTTCTTTCTTTTTTAGTACAAAAACCCGCGTCTGTGCTCCAACGGGTAGTGTTTGCTCACTGTGCCACTGCAGAGGGATAGTATCACAAAGAGGGAATGTGGTGCTAAAAAGACTAATTTCTGAAGATATCTGGAGTACTTGATCCAAGAAAATAGTATGGAAGATCAGAATCAGCCTATGTTGACATGCACAGAGAGAAATTGGATTAACGCTGGAAATGGGAGAATGCCTTCATATGCATACAGACTACACCAAAAACAACATCTACCTTCAGCTGGTCAGAAATAAGATTTCTCACCAATCCACTACCATCTTCTTTAACAAGGACTGGTATCATTCCAGCTTAAGCTCTTATGTGTCAAAGGTTTACCAAGAGTTTAGTCATAGAAAGTGACTTACTTTTCTCAGTTTTATACTTAATATCAGATTGAAATATTTTGGAGACAATGTAGTACCACTATGAGTACACATGCTTCTGTCACATCAGTACTTTTGCACTGGGTCTTTATCATGCACATGTAGAAACATGTAAACCCAAGGTATGAAACCAGGTTAAGCATATCAATGGCCAGGAAATCCCGTGTCTTGTTTACACAAGGTTAAAAGAAAAAAGCCTTGGCAAAGTCAACAATAACCCGAAAACTTAAGTGCATGTAAAAGAAAGAATGCATACAGCTCCATTTCCTCGTGGGCCTTGTAGCTGGATGCTGCTGACAAATTCTTGTCCTTTTTCTGCCAACAGGAAGCTGCAACTGTTGAAAAAAACGACACATAATTCTTTTAAAACAAATGACATGTCTATCTCTCAATTTCTCAATATATCTATATCTATATTTAGATCTAGATAGATAGATGGGTCTTACCCGGGGTAGTATTTGGCATGTTCCTCCCATGGGTCTTCCTCAGGCTGCCAGCTTTTCAAACCTCCACCACAGCGGAAACACAACACTTGGTCGCCGTTCCCTGCAAGGACACACACAATTTAATAGCTATGATCAAATACCTCAGCTAATGTTGAATCACTCAAAGTTTGAAATATTGCTCAATGTTTCTTTATTCCCAAGACTATGTACCATCTTAATCAGGTATCTGTGCTCTACCTTGGCTGTAGAAACCAGCTCTGGCAAGCCTCTCATGGTCTACAGGGTGCTGGACACCTGCAAAGCTACCAAGCCTCTCCTCAAAATTTCTCATTTCATAAGAGCTTGCATCTCGTCTACTGCCACACATCTCCACCTCCTCCTCTACACCCCCGTGGAAGGGGATGTTGCCCACATCGTGGCCTAGGATGAAGAAGCAGTAGGGGAAATGTTTGGCATGTTCTCCCCAGGCAGTGTCCCCTGCTTCCCAACCACCCAGCATGCCATTACAGCAGAAGCACTGCACCCGGTCGCTCTCCCCCGTATAGTAGAGGCCGGCTTGGGCCAGATCTCGGGGTCTTACAGGAGCAGTAGAGGGCCAGGATGAGAAGGTCTGAAGCCGGGCCTCCTCATTCCTCATGTGAGGGGCCATTGGGTAGGTGGACTCGTCAACCACCTCTCCTGTTCTCAAACGATATTCCATGTCCTCTGCTTCTTCATTGTAGGTGGAACCGTTAATCAGCGTGGTATTAGAACGCGGGATACAACTGGTGCGATGGGTGCAGCTAAGAAACCTGCATGAAGGGGAAACCTGTAACGGGGAAAGTATGATTTATCCATTTTGAATAGAATGGAAATGAAAAAGTTAATCACATTTGTTTTCCATTGTTATTATGCTTACCTCCTTATGCCTCTCTACAGGTGCGTCTCCCATGCACCAGTTTTCCACAGTCTTCTGGCAGCTGAAACAGCGGACACGATCGGCCTGGCCAGTGAAGTAGAAGCCGGCCCGGGCCAATCTTTCTGCTGACATCTGCTGGGCCAGGCTGGAACCACGGAATGATTCCAGGCGACTGTTCATCAGGGAAAAGTCCTCTGGGTAATCGGTCTCCAAATTGGGATCAAACATGATAGAACAAGGACGGGAACTGCTGAGTGGATCAATTTGATGAACAGAATGTCTGCAGACAAAACAGGAAGAAAAACTATGCTGTAGGTATTAGATGTATACGGTATACATTTTGAAGTTCAGCAAATGTCGAATAATTTCAGAGAAGTCACTTCTTGCTACACAAGTGAGTAGACTTTACATTTATTAATTTAGCTGACGCTTTTATCCAAAGCGACTTACAATTGCTATACATGTCGCACACCTCTGGAGCAACTAGGGGTTAAGTGTCTTGCTCATGGACACAATGGTGGATGTCTCACAGTGGGAATCGAACCCAGTTCTCACACACCAAAGGCAAGCATCTTATCTATGCGCCATCACCACCCCACCACTGCGCATTTAACATAGGAAATAAGAAAAGTTGCTAACAGCCTAGAATACACTTAATTTCAGGGTCAAAAATCTGTCAGTTTAAAATCCTCACAATTCAGTGATTTCTGAATGGATTTCTGTGTCTGGAGCCAGAAAGCTGAACACCACATGTAGGAGCTGTGCCTTTAAGAGAAGCAGCCATACTTATCACAAGGAGGCACTGGATGTTCCATGTGAGGGAT